TGGCTTCCTCAGCCGCTTGCAGCCCCTCTGCTTGCCACCGGTACTGGCGAGCCCGAAGGATGCTGGGCACCTCCCGCTGCAGCCGCTGGGAGCTCTTCTTCTGCCACACGTCGTACTTGGAGTACTTGGCGTGCGAGGGCTTCTGGAAGCTCTCCTGCAAGGGGATGGGATAGCAACATCAGCATCACCGCAAGCCTAGCCACCCTCCAGATGGGGGTTCCCCTCTTTGAGGTCCATCCATCCCATGGAAACATTGCCCCATCCCTGGAAACATTCAAGATCAGGTTGGACGGGGCTCTAAACAACCTGATCCGGTTGAAAATGTCCCTGCTTATTGCAGAAGGGCTGGACTAGATGGTCTTTAACGGGCCCTTCCAACCCAAACCATTCTACGATTCCAAGATCCAGCCCACCTCTGGTCCCCCACCTTATTAAAAGCTGACTTTCTGCAGGGTATTTGGCATGAGTTGCCCACAGTGGCCATCTCTCAAAGGCTCTGCAGAAGCAACAGACCTTGCAGCTGGGGTTTGTCCTCTCCCACCCACAGCCTTCCCATCTTTTCTCTTGCTATTTATTCCAGAGAAGGGTAGCCATCCCGGCGCAGTCCCCTACCTTGCTGAGCGCCGGCAGACCCACCAGGGAGGTGGCCGAGAGGTCGCGCTCGGACTTGACGGACTTGGCACAGTAGGTTTCCAGCAGAGCCAGGTCACAGCTCCGAAAGCAGCACTCCTCCACGATCCCCCGGTTGATCCGCCGGTTATTTCGTCCCACCGGTCTACCTGCAACAGCAAAGACCTTGGCATTAGCCACTAACCTGGACTGGGCCCTCTCCCCACCTCCATGGCACCCCATCCCCTTGCAGGCACCCCTCCACCTGCCACCACAGACCAGTGGGTCTCCCACTCTTCCAAAATAGCAGCACTTCTCCCAAACCAGCCGACGCGCCCGCAAACCATCTGAGTTTCACATTAAGACTTTCCCAGACAAATGCTGTTGATGCCAACAGGGTTCCCCACGTGCACGCAGTGCTAATTAAAGGCACTTTATATGGCGGTGATTTATTCCCCTCCTGTAAATCCGGCATGGGCGGCCTTTTTGGGCATAGCTAAAGCGAGGAAGCTCAAGCCCAGCCCAGCCGCCAGCGCTGCGCCAATTACTGCGACCATCTCCGATGTTGATCCTGGCAAGCGAGTTTTATTAGAAAGAAGCAGCACGGTGCTGCGGCTGCCAACCTCCCTCCGTTGGGTCGACGCTCAGGCAGGTGAAGCAAACCAAGGCGGCTAAATTTTACCAGATGGGACAGCTCTGAGACAGCTGCAGAAAGAATACAAGCTCCCGCACCCGCCAAGAATAGCTATTAAACTTAATCTTTTAATAAGAGTTCCTCTCCTGTTTCTGCCTGCAGAAGGATGCGAAAGCCCACGTCCGTTGCAGCAACAACCGAGTGCATTTCATATCACCGCTTAATGACGGCCAAAGCGCTCCACAGGAAAAGCTTACATCAGTTTCACCAGTTTTCTTCTCCCTCTTGAAATAAAAGAGACGGGCAAATTTGAATTTCTGATGCAAAACAAATTTGCTTGGGAATCGCGACTTCCAAAGCAGAAATGAAAGTATTTTCTCCACGCTTTCGCATGCGGCACGTTCTGTGCTTGTGCTGTTGTGGGGTCTGCAGTCAGGGCTCTACGCGCTGCCAGGAGCTCCTCTTCCCAGTGCAAGGTACTCCGAGGGAGGGGAGCAGAAGCTGGCACCAGTGGGGCTTGCAAACAGGATCCGGTACTGCATCCCGGCCAGGAGAATTTGGGCACGGGAAAAACTGAGAGCAAGCAGTGGAAGCGCAATGCCTAATGCTGCTCACCATACCGCACCGAGCCCCCGTCTCCAAGAAGGCTGCAGAAACATGCAAAATCGTCCACATTGGCCCTGTGCATGACCCACGATTTCCCTCCCACACTCCAGATGAAGCAGGCACTCAAGTATTTGGCCTTGGTGAAGATTTAAAGGCCCTGGCTTGCAAGGTGCTGACCAATTTCCCTGGGGGGTACCCCATCTGGGTGCCCACCCAAAGTGCCTGGGGACAAAGTGCAAAGCACAGGAGTTTTCTGTGCATGCAGTGCAACCCTACACGTGAAAAGCAGCCCCATATGTGCCATGCAAATATGCATGTGCAATGCAGCCCGGCGTGTGCAATGCAGCCCCGCATGTGCAAGGCAGACGTGCATATTCAACACAACCCCATGTGTGCAATGCTGGCGTGCAAAACCCTGTGACTGTACCGCGCTGTGGGCTCTGCAATAGCAAAGCCCTTGGCAGCAGGGCACCCACTCTCTGTTAAAATCAGTTGTGCCCCCATCGGCTCTGCTCCATGCTGGTGTATTGCCGCCGCTCTCGGAGGTCAGCAGAGCAAACGTGGCACCAGGGCGATGGGGCAGCTGACTCTTACCATGCAGCCCACCTTCGGGAGTCATTTCAAATGCTCTGTTTGCCACATTCGCCCCCCCTGCGCCACCACTCTCCTTTTCCTCTGGAAAAATTTCAGGCATGACTTTTAGCCAGCCCCACGGGAAGGTGAGAAGGGCAGTTCCATTTTGGTAAAGGCTCAGCGAAGGGAGCACTGTTAGCAGTTTAATCTTCTCTCTATAGAGGTTTGTGGCCAACAAGCACACTGGATTGGGCCTTCCCTTTAAAGGCAGGGCAGGTGTGTTGGGTGCCTGCAGCCGTACGAGTGGTGCTGGTGCAGGCAATCCAGGTGGAGATGCCCAAAGGAGACAGGGGAGAGGAGCCAGCTTGGGACTTGGTGCACATATTCTTCTATACACATGCAATACCCAGCAAGGGCCGTAGGAGACATGCACTGCCACCGACATCCCGCACCACGTATGGCCCCTGCTCAGCACCCATCAACCCCAGTGCCCAAACCTGCGCGCGCAGCAGGTTGCTGAAGCATTAGGCTGCTCCAGAAAGGCATCCTGAGCACGGGCAGAATGAGAGTTTGGAAGGAAAAGAGAAAAAAAATTCAAGTCACCCCCTCTTGCTAGCACATCCCCAGAGGGCTGTTTTTTTTTGCTGAACAGAAGGTTGCACAAGTGACGACACGCACGGTTCGGAGAGAAGTTGAAGTTTTGAAAGGTTACAAGTCTTCTCTCAAAAACAGAAGTTGCCCACTTGCAGCTATGTGTTTGTTTGGAAAGAAGGGGGGGGGTGTGGAAAAAAAAAAACAAGCAAATCAGGACCGTTTTCACCGCCTTGCCATCAAGGGCACTTTCTGGCATGGGAGCACGCGGGAAGATCATGGCAGCACGTGTTTGCCAACACCCAGGTGTGGCATCGCCAGGCTGAGCTCTACCGGCAGGGACCCCCGCGGCGGCGCGGCCCCCTCCT